TCTGAAGGGAAACTCCCTGGAGGTGGGTGTGGAGCAGAGCTCAGGTATAATAGCCCTCTCTTAACGAGGAGCAGGGTTGCAATGTCTGAACCCAGCTTTGGCTATAACCTGACTTCCCAACAGGTCAAGATACTTTTCTCTTCACAGCTGTAGGCGTCCAGGGTACCTCCCTTCACAGATGTAGGTATCCCCTGGCATCCAGACAAGTCTGGATACTTTCCCCCCAGGGCAGTAACACTTGCAGCTTTTAGGATAGGAAGCTATTTATATTATTTATGATATACACATATATTTTTATGTATTATATGTATTTTTAAGTCGATATTAATGTTTCCCTGTGGCTTTTTAAATTATCCTCAGTGTTCTTTATCCCCTCTTCTCCCTTTCTAGATAAAGCCCCCTACCCCATTTTTTATGTGTTTTAGGAAATCTTTAGAGTTTAGACAAGTTCTACTGTCCAGGGTAAGTTAGCTCACTCTCTTTGTTCTTTTCCTCACATCTTTGTGTCTTTCTTTGCCCTGCCCCCAACACTGTAGAACCTGACATGGCTAGACAGAACACAGGAATGCTCAGAGGGCAAATGATGGCAAGTCCAGGCCTCAGGATTCTCCAAGTTTTTCATGCTACAAATCAGAACACAAATTCTGGCAGGTACGTTCACAATGCTTGAAGTAATAAGGCAGGCTATTTTATGTCTGACTGCTATTAGCATAGAAGATAGCCGTAGTACTCCATCTAGGTAAATAGAACAGGAGAACCAGGTCGTGGAAACCACAAGGGAAACAAGATATTTGGGCCGTGACTGTCTCTGAAATCCCATTGGTCCTGGGGGATTGCAGAGTTAAGCATCTCATTCTGATGGATAGTTATTTAGGAGAGTCTCATTACACAATATAACCTCTGCCTACCTCTCAAATAAATGATTAGAGAATGATTTTGAGTGATTTCCAGCCAGGTTTATGGAGCTGGCCTCCAGATTGCTAATGTTAGAAGCAGCCCAGGAAAGAAGTAATTAAGGACAGTTGCTGTAGGTTGCTTTGCTGAGTCTTGCTCCAGGGCACATTCTGTGCTGGAAAATGAAATTGGAATTTTCAAAACACAATCAAGATCTCCTCTGCAGTTTTCTAGTTTCTGCTCAAGCCCCTGGGTTTCTGTCTTTAATACTCTGGAAATGAAAATGGACTCCTTGATTACTCATGGCCCCACGTTGTTGCTTGTGTGTGTGTTTTTTTTCTCCAAGAGGCATGCTAATTGCTCTACTGAAGAAAAAAGGAGCCACCAGGATGTCTCAGGGTAGCACCAGATTGTTCATGAGCGATCTTTCAGAGCCACTCATAATGGACTGAAAACAATCTATTTTGAGTTTGGAATATGGAAAGTAATTGTTTTAATGCATCCAGTTTCAATTTTTGTCTAATGAACTTTTAAAAATTGGGTTTGGTTCTTTCAAAGATGGTGGGTAAATAGTGCCACTGTTAGGTTTATAGTTCATGGTTTAAAGGAACATTGGAAGCTGGGGATGGCTCAGTGGATAATGCACTTGCTACTTAAGAATGAGGACTGGAGTTCAGACCCCCAGAACTCACATAAAAACCTGGGTGGGTGTGACAGCTTGCCTGTAATATCAGTGTTTGGGAGTGGAGACAGAGGATCCCTGGGTCCTAGTTAGATGAACTGGTGAGCTTAGGATTCAATGAGAGATCCTGTCTCAGAAAATAAAGTTAGAAGAAATTGAGGAAAATAGTTAATGTCAACCTTCAGTTCCAGTACTCACCTACACACATGTCGGCAAACCACACAAACATGCATTCATACACAACACAACACACACACATACACACAAAACACAAACATACAGACACACACAGACACATGCATCATCTCATTAAGTCTAATGAGTGAGCATTTCATAAACATGGGGAAGCAGGAGCTGGAATGGGCATATATGAGCAACCACATTGCTCATGTCTTGACTTCACAAGTCAGACAGTGTTGAGGAGGGTGTTCTGACCTTAAGCTTAGCAAAATGACAACTGTCTGCCTTTTGTGGCAGGTTGGAGATCTCCCCATCTCTCTGCTGTTTGCTAACAGTGTTTCCATCCTCTTCCTCACTCTGGTTTAGTCAGAAGTGCTGGGGCTCTCTTTCCTGTACATCCTTCCAAGGACTCCATGGCTTGACCTTCATAATATACCTTTGATTCTTAGTCTAGAGAAATACCACTACATACTTAAAATTTCAATTAAATTAGGCAGTGGCTGGACTAGAACTAGTGGACTGTGTAGGTAGCAGGTAGATGCTCAGGGCTCATCATCACCCCTTTGACAGTGTCACCTCACAGGGAAGTTTTCCCTCTCCTCCTGGCCTCAGGCTTGTTTGAGGTAGGCATAATGAGATTTTGCTTCTGGTAATCTGCTCAAGGCTGAGCAATTCTGTTGGAGGAAAGGACAGAAATGGACAAGGTGGGGATGCAGGCATCTCTTCCCCCACTTTTGTGAATGGCTTCCGAAAACAATGAGATGGGATCTTAACATGGCAAGATGGTCTTGCCTCGGGAGTTGAGTTTCTTGTTAGAAGTGACCTGGATCTTTATTTTCATCTTAGTTGGGGTTAAGTACTTGTTGAGTGGATTTGGATAGGGTTTGGTCCTTGAACACTCCTATACATCGTTTTTCCTTGGGGCTGCCTTCTGGGGAATCTATACAGATAAGCACCATGTAGGACATCGCTGTGCATTTTATCAAATAGGTTTTCTTTGTAAATTCTCAATAAGAGTATTGTCAAGATAGGGAAGAGAAAAGAACATTGATTCTGGTGTGCTACATCTCACCAGATGTACATGATAGAATGACACTAATATTTTTAGTTCCTGTCCTAGTCAGCTTCAACTGTCAATTTGACACAGCCTAGAGTTACCTGAGAAGAGTCAGATTGGCTTGCAAAGCATGACTGTGAGAGATTGTCTTGATTGATAACTAATACGAGAAGGCCCAGCCCACTGTAGGCAGCACTATACCTAGGCAGGTACTCGTGGGCTATATAAAAAAGAAAGCTAAGCATGTGCATGGACATGATCCAGCAGGCAGCAGTTCTCCAGGGTTTCTGCCTAAAATTCCTGTTTGAATTATTACTGCCCTGACTTTCATTTTTTATTGAAAATTCTTTTCATGCAATGTATTTCAGTCATAGTCTTTTCTCTCTCCAAATTCTTTACAGATCCTCCCACCTCTCTATGCACCCCCTCTCCTTCTCTCTCCCTCTTTTTCAAAAGGAAAAACAAAAACCAAAAATCAAAACAAACTTAAGAAAAAAACCCAATAAGACAAAAAAAAAATACCGAAGCACAACAAAAACGACACAGACACACACAACCCCCCCCCCCCAAATCCATGGAATCCATTTTGTAAAGGCTGAGCACTCCTGGACGTGGGGCCTTCCCTGGAGTGTGACTGAGATACAGAGATATACCAGTGGAGGAAATGCACTCTCCCTTTCTCAGTGGGTATCCATTGCAGCTGGTTTCTTGGTTGGGGGAGGGGTGGGGCCTTGTGTCCGCTTCCCCTTCTCTACTCTGTGAATTTGTCTGATTTGAACCTGTGTAGATCTTACATATGCTGTCCCAGTCTCTGTGAGTTCATATGTGTTACGTAGGTGACCTGACTTCTTTCAGTGATGTCCTGTGACCTGAAAGAGACCTTCTCTTCCCTAAGTTGCTTTTGGTCAGGGTGTTTTATTCTATCAACAGAAAGGAACAGTTACATTCACTGCCTCCCTCCTCCTCCTCCTCCTCCTCCTCCTCCTCCTCCTCCTCCTCCTCCTCCTCCTCCTCTTTCTTTCCACAAGGAAAGTAGAACTCTTAAAACAGTATGTAACTTGCAGAATTAGATTTGCAATTTGAAGTTCTTGGTTTTGAAAACACCCAGACTCTTGAAGACAGCATTAGGAAGCTTCTTGGTACATTTGAATTTAAAATAATTTCTAAAAAACATCATTTTTATAGATATAGTAAATATAAACATGGTAAATTCCACATTAATGAAGTCTGAATTTATGAGATTATATTCTTTTGACTATTAACCACTAAAAATTTTATACCAGATTATGAGTTAAATATACAATCTTCTAAGCAAACTTGGAATCTGTCACTGAACTTTTCATATGAGAAACTGAAATTCTGGGAAGCAACTAATTTGTCTAAATATAATTTCTAATTTGTGTGGTGCTATTTCAGTATAAAGATAATAACACAAAGTAGAAATTGTCCTTTAGTAGACAGATGAAGGTAATTACAGTGATTATAATAGATGCAGGCAAATATTCGATGAATTGACTAATTTAGTTCGCATTACAAAACTATTAAAGCTGGAACATTAAGTTATAAGTGAGTAGTGTTTATTGAAAGTCACACAGCACAAAATACATTTAAAGTGGCATTTTCATAGGAAGTCATTTTCACTGACCCAAATTCACAATGCATGTTCAGAAATGATACCTTCTATGCATGTCCATGGACTTTCTGTTTGTTTTCTCTTCCTCCTGTCCCTTAAAACCTGTTTCTTTCTCCCCGAGTTCTTATCCCTTCTTCTTGGCATGGTACAAAGATGGTAAGACATTGCTAGTGGTCACAGACTACATATTGAGAAGGCAGAAAGTCTTCACTTTCTCAAAACATCTTGGTTCTTAGTATGTCTTGTCTTTAATTCTTCTGCTGCTTGGAGATACACAGTATCGCAGAACATCAGTGGGTCAGGGTGTCAGTACGTCGTCTAGTCTCTTGCTGGCTCCTTCCTTCTGGCAGCATCCTCTAAGGGACCCTTCTCTGTGAGGTTGAGCTGGCCCTGAATGCAGCTGGCGCACTCTGCATGCTCAGCCTTTGTCACTCTTCTCACTTCCTTCTCAGAACTAATACTACTTTTCAGCAACCATTGCAAATGCGTTTTCTAAAAATGTTCTCAGCAAAACTGGAATCCTAATTAGCCCTTCTGAAGCAGATGGCCTCATGCCACCTGTTCCCCCTCTCCTCTCCTTTTCCGAAATAAAATTTCCTCTTGACCAAACTCCCTTGATTTTACGCTGGCATTTCATAGCCTTGGACAAATTATGCAGCATTTAAATCACTCCTAATTACCACCTCTGTCAGCAGGACTTGGTACCAAGAATGGAAGAGGGAGAGACCTGGAAAAAAAAGCGGAAAAATCAGCTGCTGGGAAGGAGACTCAAGTAATTGCAAGAGGCTGTCTTCTCTCTGGAAGGACTGGCAATCAAGGAGATCAATCCACCCCCAGCCAAGTGAGTAACCCAAAAGCTGTGTTCTGCCTGGGCTGCTGAAGAAACTACACAGGCCCCCATCTGGCAGAGCTAGTTCTGTGGTTCTGTGAAAGACACATGGGAACAAGAATACTTAGATCCTCGGAGGATTTGGGGGCAAGGAAGACCACAGGGGAGGCTTTGCATGGCAGCCATAGGAGATCCTAGGATGTAATTTCAGATAATGTCCAGTATCTGGTATGTGTTGTTGTTTAAAATATGTTTACTGAAAAAAATTTAACTTTTGAGTTGTTATATATATATTTATTTTTCAGCACTTCCAAACTACTTTTCCCTCTTCTCTTTAATAACTTTCAAGTGCTTGAAAGATGTAGCATGATTTCATCTGAGTCAAACGTAATGAACTCCTGCAGAGAAAGCTTCTTTTTGTTTGCTTGCTTATCTATTTATTTTTAGACAGGGTCTCAAGCTTAGCAATCTTTCTGCCTCTACTTCTTGAGTGCTAGGATCATGGGTGTGAATTAACATGCTTAACTGTAAATGTATTTTTTAAAGACATATAGCCTGAATCGGGGCTGGAAAGATGGCTTAGAGGTTAAGAGCATTAACTAACTAGTCTTTCAGAGGACCTAGGTTCAATTCTCAGCACTCACATGACACCTCACAACCATGTGTAACTCCAGCTCCAGAGCATCCCATGTTCTCTTCTGGCATCCATGGGAACCAAGCATGCATGCATAGCACAGACATACATGAAGGTAAAACATCCATATACTTAAAATTTTGTTTTTTTGTTTTTACAAGACAGGGTCTCTCTGTACTGTTTTGGAGGCTGTCGGTCCAGCCTGGCCTCGAGCTCACAGAGATCCGCGGGCCTCTGCCTCCCGAGTGCTGGGATTAAAGGCGTGCACCACCACCGCCCGGCCTACAAAATATTTTTAATTAGTTAATTTTTGCATTCCAATCCCAGTTCCTCCTCCCTCCTCTCCTCTTACCTCCCCCGACATCCACCTCCCATCTGCTCCTTGAAGAGGGTAAGGCCTCCCCTAGGAAGTCTACTAAGTCTGTCCCATTGTCTCCTTGAGGCAGGACTAAAACACCTTTCCACCCCCACACCCCTGTGTCTAGACTGAGCAAGGTATCTCTCCATATGCTGCCTTATATTGATTTTCTTTTCTTTTTTTGAGATGGTGAACGATATTGAACTATTAAGAACTTTCTTTTACACAAAGAGCATTGCACCAGCAGGCTGAAGGGTCATCATGACCACCTTGGCTGTGATGGAAACACACTCTCTTAATGATGCTGAAAGGGTCAGGTCTAGAGGTTGACATCCATCTACTTATACCTGGTAAAGGACCAAGTACATTACCCTTTTTGCTTCAGTCTACTGCTGAAGTACCTGTGAAATGTGACACAGAAGTCAAATTTTGAAATGAAGTGAAAGAAAACACCACCATTTCATATATGTCCTATGCAGTTTTTGTATGTTGTGAATCAACCACTAATGAGTTAAGCCCCATAAAATCAACCCCTAACTTAAAAATTAGAACATTGAGCAAATAGACCACCATCCACATATGTGCTCTTTCTCCATGCCAGGGCCATCTTTGCCTCTGAGGTTAGTGTTCTCTTGAGTTTGGCATTCATCATCCTCATTTGCTTTGATTTTATATGATAAGGAGGAAGAAAGGCCAGAATGTATGTGGGCTGCACCCTTGGTGGGACTGTGAGTAGACGTCTGTAACCCTTCAACTGCACTTACACAATGTGGTTCACTGTTAATCTGTTCATTAATTCCGTATACATGGTGTTTTCTTGCATCCTAGACTTTGTGTTCACTTCTGGGGATTCATCCTTGAAAAGATAACAGTTCCAGAGATACAGCTCATGATCTAGTAGAGGACACAGATAATCAAATTTCTCATTGCGTACAGAAGGGTGCCACAGACGGGTGACTCATACAGGCCCTTTAGGTGAGGCAAGGTGGAGAACCAGAAGTTTAGGCTGATTCCTGTAGCAGGAACATAAGCTTCTTAACAAAATTCAGTGTGATAGCAAGTGGTATTCTTGAAATTCATGGGACATGTAAATCCTGTGGCATTTGGGGGAGTTCATGGGAGAGAGAGGACTGTGATAGATAGACAATCTAGGAATGGGGGTGATGAAGGTCAAAAAGAGAACCTAGTGGGCATTAACCCAAATGGCTTCTGTGTCTATGCGTGACATCCTGGCCTCGGATATTAGGAGTTAATGGTTAATAAATTAATCTCTGCAAGGACACAGCTCTGTAAGTATGTGCCTGCTGTGCACAGGCCCTTGTTGCAACTCACAACACCACAGCAGAGCACTCTACATTTAAGGTTAGGACTCATGAGCTCTTGAGAAATGGAACAGATGTGTAGGATTGCGCACACACGAAGAACACAAAAACAAGAATGACAATACACAGATGGCCATGTTATAAACCCTGGTTACATTGCAGATCTTCATGCAACCCTGAAGAAATATTAGGCTGTTAGTATTCACTACAATGTGGTCTGAGTTGGGTTGTCTTCATAGTGTTTAGGTGGTTTCCTGACAAAGGCAAAAATAATCACATATTAAATAACTGTCATACTTGTGATTTCTAACCTCCTAAACAATGGCTATAGAATTACTTTGTTCCAAGCCTGTTTACTTCCAGCTCTCTTAAATAATATTCTTGAAGATAGTGCTGTCCAATAAAACTTTCTGCGGTGGTGAATTATGTTCTTGCAAGCCACGGAAATCAGGCAGCAAGTGAGGGGGACTAGCATCAAATGGGGAAGTTGGAGAAGATGGTGTTCGTGTGTGCTGCAGGGAAGCCTGTTTCTACAGGGGAGGAGCTGCATCCTTGCTTGGAGGTTTGAGTCTCTTCTCTGACCTCTCCTCTGATGCTCCAGAGGTGCTACTCCATCGCCTGGGACCTGTCTCTTCCATGTGCTGCTTGCTCTCTTGTAAAGATCTTGTTTTTCTCTTTCACTCTTTAAAAACACTTTTTAACTTAGTATACAAAATCATGTTACATTATGACATTTTCATACATCTATGTCATCGTACTTAGGTCATGTTTGCTGTATATCACCCTCCTGTCTCTCTTCCCACCCCTCACTGGTTTCCTTATTCTCCACAAATAGTCCTTATGCTCTGGTGTCATATGTAATAGTCCCCACATGTAAGAAATCACATGGCATTAGACACTGTTTTTCTCCACCATTACCTTCTGTTGTTCTTTCTTTCTCCTTCCCTTACACCCCTCCCTTCCTGCACTCATAGCTATCCATCTGTCGTCCCCCAACCTTGCAGATAACACACATGAAAGGAAACGGGAAGTATCTTCTACAAGGTTCCCTGACTTCACTTTTAATTGAAGTAGTCTGCTGTTTCTTTTTTTTTTAATTTTAAATTTAAATTTAAACTAGAAACAAGGTTGCTTCACATGTCAATCCCAGGTCCCTCTTCCATTCCCTCCCCCCCTCCCACACCCTCCCACCAGCCCCTCTAATACCCCCTCATTTCCCCAGGGAGGGTGAGGCCCTCCATGGGGGTGTCCATAGTCTGTCATTTCATCCAGGGCAGGGCCTAGACCCTCCCCCAAGAGTTCAGGGTGAGAGTGCATCTCTCGTTGTTGGATGGGCACCCAAAGTCCATTTGTAGTCTGCTATTTCTTCTGCACCCATCTGCACTTGGCAGAGCAAAGCCTGCATGAACTGTTTACTTCTCTGCTGAGTCACCCTTCTGGTTCCCCACACTTTGCAGCAGCTGTCTCTTATTACTCCCTGAGTGATTTCTAGGGCTCTTCCAGTCCATGTTCTTTGTTATTAGGGCTCTTCTCATTTATCATGTCGACTTCTAACCCAGTGTCTTACCAAGTCTCTCTCTGATCTATTGTTTTAAGCCCACAGAGCCATCTCCCACACTTCCTTCCCCAGTCACTAGCCTTACCATCACCACCTCTATGCTTGCTTCCCATCAGTGCAGTATCAATGGAAAACCATGGTTCTGATCTTAAAATAAAAAAATAAAAGAGATGGCTCATTCTGGAGCCAAGTATGGATGACCATGGTCTGGGAAATTCAAATTCAGATTATCCCAAATATCATGTTCCAATGTGGCAGTGGTCGCATGAATTTTTTATAGTAGCACAACAAAGAAAATCATAAATGAGCACACTTCAAATACATTGGTGAATGGTTTACAGTGAAGCAGGCAAGTCTCTGAGGCTTCAGATGCTAATGATGGCATTGTCAGCCTCGGGGCTGGCATTAGTTGTTCATTCATTCATTCCAAAGGATTTACCTAGTGGTCACAGGATGTTAACTCACACTGTGTGGGATGGGGCATAAAATGACTATTAAGGGAGCTAAAGATGGCCTAAGATAATTTGACTCTGGACTCATAACATTCAAACCTCTCCACATCATCGATGCTCTAACCAGTCAGTCAGTCTCTGTGTCGCTCACAGCTTCTTTCTGGGAACTTTGGCCCACAGTGGCTCTACTTCCTCCAGCTTTACCTGGGCATGGTTTTCCACCGCGAAGGATTTCCTACTCGTCATTCCATGCCTCCTCACTCTTTCCTTCTGGGTGTTGATCGGCACAGAGAAGCTGCTCAGTCATTGTCAGTGAGAACACTCTGCTGAGATGGGAGCAGAGGTCCCTTGGCTCTGGGGACCTTCTAATGACCAAGGGTTGTTCATCAGAGCAAACATGTCACTTGTCTTTGTGAAGCTCCCCCTGTCCTCCTGTAGCTCCAGTGGACCTTGGGTCTCCTTTGACAAGCAAACTGATGATCTATGAAAGGTGAAATCTTCTTGGGAAAGAGGAGTCACTGGGGGACTTTTGTCTTCTCAGGATTAGCTTAGGCCTTTGGTGACAAAAACAAACAGATAAAACCAAAACCAAACAAACAAAAATCAAGTCGTTCCTTCAGTTTGCTTACAAATGTAACCAGGACGAAAGGACGAACAAGTGAAGGCAAACCTCTTGATTATAAAGCAG